TTCAAAGTATTCCTATTGCTATTGGAACACCAATTGTTGGTAAGAAGAAAATAAATGAAAAAAAAGAATTTTCTTTGAATAGATTTGATTAATTTCAGGTATAATGCGTGATGCTTTTTCTGATTTTGATCGACCTTATCTTTGGCCATATTTAATATTTGGTGGTACAATTTTATTAAGTGGTCTTATTCAATTTGGTATTCCAGTATTAAAACGACGAAAAGAACGTCATCAACAACTAACAAAACATCAATTACAATTGGGAGTTTTATCATTTTCAAAACAAAATTTATCTGCATCCGAACAACAACAACAACTTTAATTAAACAACTTCGCTTGAACAATAAAGTTCAATTCAAACTTATATATTGTGCTAGAAAAAAAATTTTTTTTTTTTATTCGTCACTATTACTCTCAAGGATTTCCTCAAAGTGCAAAAAAAAGATTGCTTTTATAGTTATTTATCTTAGAAAAAATTTGACTGTAGCATGCCCAACTATTTGTCGATTTACAGTTATATTTAAGAACGAGAAAACAATATGAATTATCGTGTGTTTTTCTTACGTACAAACTCTTGTTTTATTATTCACTTTTCTTATTATGTAGTTATGTTTTAGATTCGTTTATGAATATTAGACAAGCTTTAAAATCAAACTTTTAAAGTTTTATTTTTCAGATGCTGCCACCGACATTACCACCGACATTGGTGATAGTTAGCACCAATCGATCTGGTCTGGGGCGTGAGTGTAGCACTTATGGGACACTGTCAATTAGATAGGTTATTATAAGTTTTGACTCGGTTCAATTCGGATCGATTCCAAAAAAAAGCGAACCGATCCCATCACTGACAGCAATCTGTAGTAGACATCTGAGTGGAAGTGTCAATGTTCTCTTCAAGAACACCTATACACCGAAGATGGTTCTTTGTATTGATTATTTCAGTAAGATATTATTCAATTGCATCGAATTCAGACTTGCATATTGGTGTTATAGCACTAATCAGGTTTTCAAAAATTGTCTTCAAACGTTCAATGCTGTTTGGATAATGTAATAATTTGATCAGGAATAACATGACCAGTGTAAGAATCTTTCGAAATATGTATCTTCCAATTGGCTCGATTATCTTTATAGTTTGCTGCACAAGTGCAAATCAATTCAGAAGATTTATTTGCCATTCTGTACTACGCTTCCAATCTGTTTTGTATCGACCTTTCTATCAATATTCCGTAGAGATAACGGGTAGATTCTAAAAATTGGGTTTGAGCCCGTTCGATGCAGAATTAGTCGTTCTAGAAAAAGTCGAGCTACTATGTTTTTATATGATCTTTTTAAATATCTCGCTCCTATCAGTGATGAGAAAAAGCTTCGGGTTGATTTTTGCTTATTTTGTTTAGATGCGTTGTAGATGGTCATATCTTTTTACATCTAAATACTTTGAATGAGACTTTTATTCTTATACCATCGAATTGAGAATCTATCTTTCGATAAACTAGTCTAATTTCGAACTAAATTATTAAATAGTGCTAGCTTATTCCTACAGAAAAAAAAAGAAAATGATGAAATTCTAGGAGGAAAGAGATTTCCCTGTATTTTCATATTACTTTTCTCATATTATTTTCTTGCAAGTATCTCTTTGAAAGTTTGAATTTTACTTCAAACGATGCTGAATTTTCCGAGAGTACAATGACATTTGTTAAAATATGAGCAATATCTTTTCGACTGTGCACAATCACAATGAGTTGTGAAAGATGCAGCAAATATTCAGGTCTATGTTTTGCATTTTTCGAATTTTAAACGTTGTATAGTGGGATGTTTAGCAAGTGTTTCATTGAGAAAATATTTTACTGCTGATACATTGTCAAATTCTTCTCCAAACGAAATCACCAGTTTTCGAATAATGTGTGAGTCATTTGTCTATTTTAAATTCTTCATTACTACCATGGTCTTCTCTCATCGTCGTGACTGTAAACATTTGTTCTGCTCTATTTTCATTACAAACTGGATTTCTTCCATCAGGACAAAGAAACAGTTGACGGATATCATCAGAAAATGCTTCTTCATATGCAGTTCGACCATAATGGTGCAGACGATCTCGTCGATAATCGCATTCATGTAGAAGAAGACGAACAATCTCAGCTTGTCCAGCATAGAATGTCACATGAAGCAATGTACTGTCGTTTAATTCAAAACTATTTAGATCGTCATAGAAAATATCCTTCAAGAATTTTCTGGCACATTTTAGAATTCACTTGCTTCACCTTGTTGAGGGTAATGAATAATACGTTGTTATTCGTTGTTTCAAGTGCTCTGTCACATCACCTCTTGACTGTCAGTAATGAACTTCTTCTTTCTTTCTTCTTCTTGAATATGAAAACGTGACTCACTCTGATTGAAAAGATGAAAAGTAAAAAAAACAAAAGGAGGGGACGATGTTTGTTGTTCGTTTTTTCTGTCCCTCTTCTAAAAAGAAAAATTATTTTTTTTTTCTTCATCTGTGCTAATGGAATTATAAAGTGGTGATGAAATATAGTAGGCTTTTTTTCTATTCTTCAAATGGTTGCTGTTCTATTATTCATTATTCCTTCACTTTCTCTTTCAATAAAAAAAACACTACACCTTGTTTTGAGCAGGTAATAACACAGCTCGCTTATAATGGTAAGTTTTTTTTGAAAAAAAAAGAACGATTCATGATTATTAAAAAAAAGAATCTCAATCAAATTTCACATGATTAAAACTAGAGACGTCGCTACGCGAGGAAGCTGGTTGCATGTAACTTCTCTCTTCTTCTGAAAGTTTTTGCTAGACATTCTCTATTTTGAAAGACATAGTTTCTCCTGAGATTACTTGAATTTCGATCTGTACTCCTTCTTGTATATTTCCTCTTTTGCAATATCTTAAATATTAAACTCAACAATCATCAATACAGTAGAAAGCAAAAGTTTAGGACACCTTTTAAGGACCATAATAATCATCAAAGTTCGAAGTAAAATGGCGAGATTAGAACGAAAACTCCTTTTTTTCAGAAAATCAAAATTCTAACTTCTCCAATATTTCGTATTTTGTAACGAAGAAATTTGCGTCAAAAAATTTTAAGGTGGAGGTAGGTGTCGATTAAAGAAGAACTGTACCCACGTCCACACGCCCAGTATTTTTCAACGATTTTCACAGCACTGAAATTAGAGTATTTTGCTCTTATCCGTCTCAAAATTCGCAAATAACTTTTCTAGGGTTAATTTTAACCGCCTGTCAGATATTCTCGATGGTTAGTGGTTTCAGTTCATGTTTTCGTTATATAAATGTCAGAAAAGATTTTCTTCGTTGTTCAAGTTTTACCAACTGCCACTTCATGCAACTAAGACATTATCTGAGTATTAAAAAACCTAAAATTATGAAGTCTAATATAAAAATTCGACTTATTGGATCATTTTGTATTCATATTGACAATACTGGTCTAATATGATTTCGAAAGTATTTTAGTTGTGTTGAATAATGATTTCAAATAAGTAAACATTATACTTAACGATTCTTTTAAAAAAATTATATCTTTATTGAAGGAAACCAAAAAACGGTACAGATGTTTTTTAGCATCAATTGTGGTGAATTAATATCCGTTTCAGAGTAAAATAGACACGGAAATTTTTTGAATAGTTTTAGATCGACTAAAACTATCAAGCTCAAGGTCTCAATATTGTAAAGAGCGAGCTCTGAAGCATCTATTTGCATAATACTAATTCGTATCAAAAATATTTTTTATGACTGTTTGTGTAACGATCTGTTTTTATCTCTCCCTATTTTCATGAGAAATTAATGTCAATTCACTATTCAATTCTAGCTCGAATTGCTTTCTCCAACGAAATCAAAATATAATGTAATAATTTTACTGCATATAGAAGATAAATCAGACTACAATTTGATGTAGTTTTACGTTAATCTATCATGAAAATAGGAAACGAAAAATATATTGTTCTACAAAAAGTCACTGGTTCGAATGAGTATTATGCAGATAGATATCTCAGAGCTCGCTGTTTACATTGTTGAAACCCGAAGCTCGATAGTATTAATTGATACTTGTTGGAATGATCTAAACTAATAGATGCTATTTTTAGAAAATCGTTTTGCTTTGAGTTGGAGATTGAAACGATTTTCTCTGACATGAAACAATTTCTCGATTTAGAGAATATTGTGAAATTCACGATAAAATGAGTAAAAGAATACATTTTTATGCAGTTACATGTACACTGTTTACATTAACAAAGAAAGAAATTTTTTTTTTTGAAAGACAAACAAATCTCAAGACGATGATGACGACCAATTTATGTTTAACAAATATAAAATTGCTCTTTTGTCGTTTTTTTTTATCGTAAAGTGTGCACATTTTAACGCATTTTAACGGACCAAAGTGTGCACTTTTTACGCTTTCATAAAACAATATCTTGTTTGAAAAGAAAACGAATCTCAAGACGATAATGTGTGCAAACTTGCTTCTTACAAAAAAAAAATCGTTTTTTCTTGCTGTTTCATCGTAAAAAGCGTACATTTTAATGCGTTTTAATGAATTGAAATGAGTTCCTCTCTGATTGGGTGTAATATGATATTTGACAAATAGCTGATTTGTGTGGTAAAGTATCAAATCCATATTTAGAATTTTTTAAAACGTGAAAATTTGTCATGACTCTGTTTTTTCTTAAGAATGACAACGGCTTTCATTCTACGCTTTTATCCGTTGACATTAAATACTACTTAGAAAATTATGGAATTATGATGAAATATATTTGGCAAACAGAAATAATTTTGCTAAGATCATCGAATAAAAAAGTCATTTCAATATTACTTTTTTTGAAGAATCTTCACATAACCAAAATCAAATTCAGCACTCAAAGCTCTTTTTCTGCTAGGCTTGCTTCTACTGAACCACTTTGAAAGTATATATACTTTCAATGTGATTCTTTTTCTTCAGTAATTCAAAGGTACTCAATGAGTCAGTAGTAGTCTTTCAATAAGTTTCCTCTGACCGAGTATCATAAACTTCGATGTATGCTGAGATGTCGAAATGTGTTCGAGGAGTCGAAAATGAGTGTCCAACAGAATACAGTTTTTGACTGCTTGGAATGCGATAGCTCTCGTGAAGCTCAACATAGAAGCAGAACACATATATTTCACATTTTTGGATGAAAAGCAGAACAATAACTACATTTACACACACGGATGCCTACATCATCAACTGCACTTCTTTACTCCATCTACTGTTTTGTTTGACCGTATGTTAGCTTTGTGTAAAATTATTTATAATGATCAGATTAAGGAGCGTGTCAGGAAGAACGAAGGAATTTGAGGGATTTTTCTGTTATTTTCTGCCGAACTCATCAGTATACGTAGACAAGTTCCCCTTTTGGTCTGCTCATTTTCAGAAGGCTGCAGATCATAAGTTTTCAAACAACATTGTTATCAATAGACAATACAATCTTTTTCTTTCAGAAAACCGTGTACGAATTAACGTATTAACGATCGTCATCTTCTATTACACAGGCACAGAATATGGCAAGTGGAAAAGTTGCAAAGGAAATTCGTGAGCCACAACCGGATCGTATCAAGCCGGACGCATTGTTAGTTAGGGTAATTCCTCATTTTATTGATTATTGCAATATCGATCAGTTCAAAGAAACACCCGGTATGAAATCGGAAGGCGTTGCTATCTTTGGATATGATCACAGGTGTAAATTTACTAAAAGTACCTGGTTAAATTCCGAAGACAGAAACGAAAGCGAAGACAAATTTCTTGCGGCTTTAGACAAATCGGACAAGCAGAAAGTCACAGATAATAAATCATTAAAACTTGATATGCAAAGACCACCAAATGACAACAAAGTCAATCTTCGAATACTATACGACGGAGTACCCTATGCTCTTGTTACTGTACCAATTGGTTATAAATTTGGTAAGGAAAAACTGAAAGAACTATTAAGAGAAAGTTTTAAACAACAAAATAAAATTGATATCGTCATCGACTAGAAGAACATCTCGGTCAAAATAACAATGATTCAAAAAAGCAACAACTATGTTGTTTGTGTAACATTTGAAAGAAAATATTTGTTTGAAAAAAAAAATACAAACTTGATGAACTTTTAAAGCTGTAGTTTTCGTGATTGATTGTAAGAAGTTTTTTTTTTCTTTCATAGAATTCAGAAAATGAATTCTATATCGTATTGTATCTTATTTTAAATAAAATATATATAGCACAAAGATATGGTGTTTTACTCTTTAAAATAATTTAGAACTTCGCGGAACCAAACAAGTCTTCGTAGATCTTCGAAACCAGTTTTGGTTTCCAGCAACTGTGAAAGTTTCGTGTTAATACTTCAAAACCATTTAAAATTACAGCTGAGTTTCAATGATCTTTAAAACTATCTCGGCTTCTTTAAGGATCTCTTCAAGTGGTTCAATCTTTCCTGCACAGATGTGATCATTTAATTGAACAGAAAAATTCTACTTCTGTATCCGCTGAAAAAACACCCGAAAATTTCGTAGCAGTTTTGCTATTTTATCGTGAGTTTTAATGACTTTTGCAGTAAAGATATAAAAGTGTAATCAACTAGAAACGACTTGTATCTGTAAGAAGGATGTGGGTGTTTTTTTCCTGAGATACACCCCACACCCACACCAATTAATCAGAAAACATAATCGTGAGCTTAATTCCCTAAAGTCGATAAGTCTGATATTTCCCTGTATAAAGAATATTCAAAAGAAATGTTTATTATTACATTGTCATTTGATTATGTCAATTATAATCAGTTATAGTCGAAGCAATTGTATTCTGAGATGTAACATTTGTATTCATCTTTTGCTCAGGTTTGCTCTTACAGTGTTGTTCCGCCTGCGTACAGATTCTATGTCGATTTTTGTTCAAGGTGAAAAAAAACAGCTGGATGTGAGAAACAACATTTTTGACACACATTCTTGATGGAGTATGTGTCTAAAAATGTTTAGGTCTGAAGCATCTGTGATGGCTGAGTTTCTGTAGAACAGAAACTTTTATTCAAAACAACTGGCTTTCCATTTTATTATTTATATGTTTAATTGAACGACACATTCATATATGAGAGACTAATGAATGCAGATCGGTCATAGTGTGTGTGTTTGCAAGAAGATAACACATGCACGTGTAGAAAGTTCCTTCATCACAAATACAATCTCAATATTTCTCTAGACCAGGATAAAGTATGTTTGAATAAGTTTATATCAGTTTATCTTTCTTTCTTTCTCATATATAAGATCCGATATCAGCTGGAATAAAATCGTTTTGTGATTTAAAAGTAATTAGATGGTCAATATATATTTGATAATGTATTATTTATTTTAGTTTTTTTTTTCAATTTCATTTTATTTATTACAATTAAAATGGAAAAATTCGTCAACAACAAGATTTACAGTTTCTTGAGGATTTTGAACTTTGTTTGTTTTTTTAAGAAGTCACTTATTATTACTTTAATGTGAAATATTTTATACTCTTTTAATAGCAGCACTTGATCCATTTTATTAGAAATCATAAACATATTTTTTGATCTGTTGGAATCAGTAGGAACATGAAGTTTATATTGAAAGCTTGAACGAAAAAAAACATGAAAAATAAAACTATGTAATATCGTCGACCTAGCTTTGAGTCTGGACTCTCGATATAATGGAAGCTAAAGAGAATACCATATATCCAGTTTTTTAGAGCGACATTAATTCTATCAAATGATTACCAAGTGTAACATGATAAAATTCTTTGTCTCAAAAAACTTAGTGAAAATTCATTCAGTGTTTGCTTCATCATTTTTCAGAAGCAAGTTAACTTGAACCAAAAATTTCAATTGTAGAAGGCTTGTCATAATATTCTTTCGTTTGGAATAAAGAAACAAAAGAAATAGAGGCGTTAAAATTATCGAGACAATGACTATGTTGAATGGGATCTTATTAATTTAACCTTGATGAAATAAGAAAAAAAAACATTTTTTGCTATAGAATTTATCAGATCTTGATCCATAAAATCGATAAAAACATAGAATTTTCAAAGTTTTTTGTGTCTCTTATAGTCGAAACATGAACTGAAACAATGTCAAACAATTAAGATTATTTCCATCATCCTGCAGTTTATAACATTTGTGATTTCATTGAACTTTTAATTAGACAACGGATTAGTATTTCTAGTATCAGCATTCTTTCAAACATAAAGTAGTTATTCTTTTAAAATTACGCGAAAGATAGTAACTGGATAAGATGATGTTGTCACAGTAGTTGTACGATAGAAGCTATATGAAAGATGTCGAAATGGAATTTTGAGAACAAAATCAATCACTGGCATCATAATTATTTTTTGTTTCTATTTAATTCTATAGATCCAATGTATGTTAGTGAGAGAGAATTAACAAAAATATATTAGTATGAAAATTATTTTATTCAACAAAATCAATGATTTCTATAAAAAGACAATCGACGAACTTTGCCTCTTTGTCAATAAATTTCTAAACAATCAACTACTTAAAAGTTCAGATTAATATATTAATCTAAACTAAAAATCATACGGTTGTGTTCTTTCGATTTTTGTATGATATTCATATAGAAACGATGGAAAAATAAAGAATCAACCTATCTAATGTATCACATTATTCCCTTTATATTGTTGTACAAAACATTTAATTGTCTTTTTATTATCCATCACTTCCTATCTATATCAAGCTTATTATCATACTAAACTACATAATTTCAATCTCGACAATCTCATTACTATATAACTCTTTTTTGAAGTGAACAATTAGTATAATTAAAACGAATGATATTGATATGCATTCGTAGCTCTCTAAATTCTAACCATCAATGAATGAATTCATATCTAACATAGTATATACGTTCTGAACTATTTTATATTGTTATCATTTAGCAATTCAATTCACTCGTTTTTTTCTCAATGTTGAAAAATTATGAATGATCAGTTATTTATACAAAGAAAAGGTGTAAACTTCTAATTGAATTATAGTCTTGTGTCTAATTGACTGTGTGATTAATGTTCGAGGTGTCGAAACATATGGTGACTAAATTGTCTATGATCAATTTTTCTAACGAAAAATCATCTGTCAATAATGAACTGTGACATATTTTTTCAATATGCGCAAAAGCACCTATATAAATGAATATACTCGATGTATCAAGACAATAATATAAACATAATACACATCGATTGATAGAATTTTATTGATATCATGACGATGCAATGGTTGAAACTATTGATGATTATTTCTTTATTACAACTTGGTACCAGTAATCCTATATGTAAGTAATCATGATGAAATCTCTAATTTATCTTCACATAGTGATGTTTATTTTTTCGTCACACGACAAAAATATATAATTTGCGTATCGCTATAGAATTTCGTAATGCATTTCTAATTGATAATCGTAATCTCTACTACTATGTATTTGTTTTACATTTGAAAAATATTGTTTCGTATGAATCAAATCTTTTAATATTCATAACATTGTTCAGTTTTACTTATGATGAGAAATAAATTTCCATTTTATTCAATATCAGATCATATCTTTTTTGAATGTTACGATTTTTATATCTTAAATTTCTTCTCCATCGGTATACATAAAACATAGAACTAATTTCTGAGGTAGCTCTCTCTAAGAAATTAGAATTTTGAGTATTTAAACTTTATATTAAATCGACATATGTTTTTGTATGATATCGTGATTCTTTTCATATGAAATACTGATAAAATACTTCATATGTGTGTGTAATACATGAATATAAGGAACTGATATGACGAAAACGAATTCGAAATTAGAAAGATGTGCAAGTGCTCTTGTTTAATATAATTAGTAATTAGATTTACAAAAGTGTTGTTTCGTGGTTGAAGTTGTCTGTTTTAATATCATTTATAAGTACTACAATTATATAATTCATTTATTCTTTAATAGATTCGTCAAAATATGATGAAACTTTACCATCGAACACTCAACAAATGACTAACAATCGTTATGAGAATGCTTTCTTTTGTGTATCGGTAGAGAAACCAAACAATTGGTCGTCAATGAATTTTGGAGAAATGCGTACTCTATTCGATCGGGTTTCTATGCCGCTTATGATTATGAACAACAGATTAGAGCAAGAAACTATCAAAACCTACGTGGAAAATTTAATACCTCTTTTTGGTTTCACCAAATATCCAGTCGAAACGCAGAATAGTAAAGAAAATATAGTTATCATAGCCTCCGCTATTAAAAAGAACGTATTGCCAAATGTGAACAACAGCTGCGATTTCATTGAATTTTCCAAAAAGTTAATTCAAGGTTCACTTATCAAGGCGAATTTTTATGGTGATTGTCGTGAAATCGATGTGAATGGAGAACAATTCAGCGTGCAAGCATCGACCGTGAAGATACTCCACTTGCCAACTGTCAATGAAACGACATATGTCAAAATTACCGAAAATGGATATATTCTTACTTTCGCGCTTGGCTACTTCGATCATATTGGCAAGAAGGAACTCGACGATATCATGTGCAGTCTCAATTTTTGGAAACAATGAATATTATTCTCAAATAACTTCTCATTGTAAATAAAATAGCGTTTTTTTTTTTTTGTATGTTCAAATAAAAACTTGAATGCTAATAAAAAGAATAGACATGTAACATAGATTTTTGTTTTTTTCAAATTTCCAAAATGTTTAGATGTTCAAACAAGTAAATTACCGTCATAAATAGTCCAATGTCACCAGTTACTCTCACAGAAAAATTAGAGATTTCTATAATTATCTTTAAAATAACTGAAAACTGTATTCGAAAATACAGAGAACTTTCAAGTGAATCTCAGCAAAAACGAATATTTTTATAAGATCATTATGAGAGGTGCGGGTGTGAATGTTAGCGTTCTGTTCAGTCACACATCCCCATCCAATGATGAGGAAATCATTCATGATTGGTAAGAAAAATAAGAACATTATCTATTGTTTGATTAAATTCAGCTACCAAACATAAATATCTATCTCGATGAATTATGATTTTTTTGCTTAAAATTGTCTCTGATAATTTACTAATCTGAAAATTTTTCAACATTGTTCTTCAATGATTTCTTTTATCAACGTAACTAATTATAGAGATTTCAATGATATAAGATTATTAAGCTAAATCTATTCTATTTGATGTGTTGTTTCGAGCAACACTTGAATAAAGGCTTGATGGCATTCCTATTCAAACTGTGAAATCGATTGAATTTAATTTAAAATAGTGCAATATATTTATCAACAAAAATCTACATTTGACGATATAAAAGTGTTAACAATGACGATTTACGCTGCCAAAGAAAAACAGATGCATATAATCGGACAATTAAAACATACTGTCACATGAAATTTATTACATCAATGTAGATTCAAAGAATAATCATGTATTGAATCGAAAAAACATTCTTTTTCTAAAAGACTCATATAATAGAGAAGAAGATGGATTTATAACGTCGCAATTGAAATGAATTCACAAGAGTATACCAATATAATCTCATATTGTTGAATAAGCAATGAAATACAGATTAATTATGAATTTTATTTCGTATACTTAATCCTATCTCGGACACAGATGAGTATCTAGTTACAAGAATGTGAATTATTTGCCGAATGACAAATTTCTTTATCTCATTTCTTATTCTTTTTCGGAATAATAATCAATAGTCAGGATTAAAATAAAAAATACAGTATGACTTGCATAAGAAGTTCAAGTGTTTGACTTGACAACTTATGTAAAAGTTGATTAAAAGCACTATTCAATGTTATTGTAGAAGGTATGATTGCCGATAGTAACCACAGATGTCTTATTCTGTGCCTAGTATGAAATGATAATAGATAGATCTATAGGTCGGATCTTCCCATTTCCCATTCATTACATCATCAACAATCGAAGCAATTTTCTTATATTCGTTGCCCGATTCTTTTAAATCGAGTATTTTTCTTCTGACAAACGGTTTTCATAAATATTTTGCGCTTATTCGCTCGATTTCGGATGACATGAATGATAGCTGCTTGTTCCTTATCCGATTTACCCCGCACCTCATCAAAGAGTGTTGGAATAACCACATCTGTTTCGTCGAGTTTTACTGGATTGGCTGTGGCGGTATTTTGAATCTCGAAATAGATAATAATACTAAGAATGAGAGAATAAGAAAAATTTCACTTCCATCATCGAGAGTCCAAATATATGCGAAGATGTGCATTCATTAGCCTGTTACATATCAAATAATTTGCATAATACGTCAATGAATGAACAATCTAAAGAAAATTTTTCAGTTTCATCTAAATGAATAAAAAAAAATTGGCATCATATTGTTCCTGTTGGAACTATAGTTGATTGTTTTGCTAGCATGTAGTGGATTAGAATCTTCCAAAGATTATAATTCCAAATTCGACCAATCTTAATGGTTCAAAATTCTTACAAAATCTCAATTTGAGACAATGTTAACAAAGTCAGTCAGAGTATATCGAAACTCGAACCTAAGCTCGAATGTAGAACGCATATTGAGTGTTTGATTGTCGATATTGGATCAAATTCCTAATAGAAATTCCAAAATAAAATTTAGTATATTTTACTTTCACTACTTAGTAAATTCAATATGTCAAATTGGAATCTCTTTCGATAATTTTTTCTCTTCGATTATTAGGTAATCATACGCGTTCTTTGTCTATGCAAATTTTCATGAATCAACAAATAAGAGTTTCGGGATTTGTTTTAATTATTATATTTTAAGCTACCATATCATCATCCAATATCCGACCACATTATAGAAACTTTTGCATTTCAGCATTCAATGAATCACCGGTCTAAGATGACAATGCCATATGATATTGAGAATCGTTCCTCATAAAAAATAGGTATCTTACAGATTTTTCCAACGGCTTATATGAATTTCATCTATCTTTGCACAAGTAAAAAATGCATTTTTTTTTGTCTTATAGATCTTTAAATAAAACATTATTTTCAGCAAGACATGCAGTTTTTTTTCGACCGATTAAAGGATTAATCAAGTTTGTATTCGATATCGATGAAATGCACTCTTATTCGGACTTTCTGAATGTATCAAAACGAGCAACATTGGTAATGTGCCTGTACAAGTTAGCCGTTGTATAATACATATGATGAATAGAAAAAATGATTCATCTTATGACATGGTGTATGTTTACGGACGGATGGTGGAGAAGTATAATTTACAAAGGTTCTTTTAATTCTATGTAATCTACTATATACATAAGTATTGTCTGACATATGATGATCTGGGGAGTTCGAACAACTCCAAAGTTAATTGAAGAAAGAAATGGCAAAGGACGAAGAAAAAACGTAAAATACTCGTTGTCGATGGACTAATTTTTCATACACCTTTTCTTATATATATATATTTTTTTGATACTATATAACATTATTGTTTCTTTATTGTACTATATTCTGTTTATTAGTAAACACATAAACTAGGGCACTATACTTCCATTTTCTGTTTAAGATATTCAACCGAGATCTTTTTCTCTAATTTCGTTGATTCAATGTTGATGAGTTTTTTCCGAGATCATTTCCTCTTAATTTGAACTGGGAAAAAAACGAGATCAATTTTATCATTTTTTGGACTGATTAAGCACTCTGAGATCAATTCAGCATCGTCCATTTTATTCGTCTACTTATAATTAATCGATTAATGTTCGCTGCTATGGAACATCCAATCAAGAAACGCATTCTATGTCTGTTTGTTTTTAATTACATAAATTATATATTTATTTTTTCATATGAATCTCTTGCAAAAAATTGGCAGTACCAATTCTAAGCTACGATCTTACATTGATAAACTTTCTCACAATAGATCTGTTAAATAGATTATCAACAATTCATTTGTAGTCCAATTATTAGTCAATCAATCGAAAAACAGATCTTATACTATTCTAAATAGTACAAATCATTCAATTTCAAGTTTTTAACAACGAATTCGCTAACACTAAATATTTAATCAATCATTCGATTCTCCTATATGACGAGCATCGAAAGAAAAATCTATTTTATAGAAACAAATAGCTCAACTACTCTCGATTTCATCTCAATCAATCGTTCACTGTCCCCATGTCCGAGCACCAAAATAGAAACTACACTATAAAAAAAAAGGAATCTAATGAACAAACAATTCAATAATAATAAGTTGATAATCGAATCTCATAAATTTGAATGTATGAATAAAGGTCATCGATAGATAATGTAATTTTCTTACGAACGTTATTTCTAGAATTTAGGCACATTACATAGAACTTTACATCGCTAGTTTTCCTTGAATAAGTAGTAAAACACGTTGAAAATATTTATTTCTTAAATCTTCAATAGTAAAGTACATTTTACAGATTCTGCTTTCACCCATACTGTTGAGTTATGCATTCAGTACTCCATCATGAATTTTTGTATGTATGAAAAATTTAAGAAAGACTCGAATTTTTTCCTTTCAAAATTTAAAACTTTTGACATTTTGCAATTTTACTCTTTTCCATCGAATTTGAATCATAACTTATGGCGCGAAAGTCTTGGCACAAAGTATTCAGTCATTTTTCGGTCATTTCAAGACAGCCAGTTCGGATCAGAATTTTTTACTGTTTCCGAATATACAATGCTAAACAAAATTTTTTGAACGATCTTTTGAAATGATTTCTTTTCTACAGTTGTTCTAAAAAAACACTGTATCTGTCGTTTTTTTTATATTAAACGATAGTATTTTAATTTCTGTATAAAATGGTATACATTATTTAACGAATATAGTCTTCTTCATTTTTTTGGATCAGGTGTAATTGTATAATAAAACCAAGTCTAGATATAAAATCGTCTTTTTTTTTCAAACTTTTTTTGACAGAACGTATTATTTCGTCTATCTATGTTGCCTTTGTTGTGATGTAATGTTAATTCTATGGTTTCAACCACTTCATCCTGTAAACTATAATCTAATGGATGTCAATTAGATGAATTCGACGGTCAATAGTTCTTGAAGATGAATGCAGGAAAACAGTCAGCACACCATTTTTTAACGTAAGTAAAGTTAGCATCCTATTCTACTTTTTCTTGTACGGATTTATTTCCTGACTTGTGTTGGTTGTCTTTCTGGTTGTGTTAGGTGCAGAATTTTATTCTCTATTGGATGTTACTACTTTCAGTAGAGGTCATCAGGTAAAAAATGCGATTTTAGTTCGAAATACTGAGTTTTTTACTATAATCTCAGGATATAACTGTACTTTTTCGTGTTCGAATTCGCTTCAAGACTTGTATTGATTCTCTAATCGGTTGTGTCAGGTGCAAAATTTTATTCTCTGTCGGCTAGTACTATTTTCACAAGGGATCATCGGGTAAAAGCAACTTTTGTCCGATGAACCAGATTTTCACTTTGTGCTGTTGGTGAATCTGTACTTGCTCTTAAGCGGATTCGTTTTCTGGCTTGTGTTCTCTCTCTGATTGGTTGTATTAGATTAAGAATGAAATCTAATTTCAACAATGCAAATGATGAACTGTACTAAATCGGTAAGTAATTGTAAGTGAAAAGAAGAGTATTGGGCTCGCTGTTGTTTACATTTAATAGATCTAGTATTGAGTGTTATTGTAATTCAAAGAATATATTGACTCTTTCCAAACTTTCAAAATCTTATCGAGGCGATTGTAATCGATCCGATTGTATCAATTTATAAATTCTCATTGCAATGACTTTTACTTTTACTTTTTCATTTTTTAAATTATTATATAGAAATTTTCTTCTGATTAAGAGAAAATATAGTGTGTTTAAACGAAATGATAGAATTCTTGTTTTTTTTTTCATGATGAAGTATTAGTACGTAATACGAGTTTCTTTCACTGTAAATCGAAATCATTGAATTGGAAAAGGTTATTCTCGATACACACACACACACACGATTTATCGCAAAAATATTACAAAATATTTACGATAACAGATTCAAACCAAGGTAAGCAAATTTATGTCAAGGAGAGCATGTAAAGAGAGAATAGAGACAAGTGAGAGAGTAGTGGGAGAGAATATTATCGAGACAAAGAAAAAAATGTGAAGGAGAGATAGAAGAGAGAGAAGAGAAAGTACCTGTCCTATAGTAAGGGAAGATATAACCTATCGTAAGAGAATAGCGAAGATATATGTAAGAAGAACAAAAAGAAAAATACATGAAGCGGATAGTTATATGATTTGTAGTGCATTTACTGCATATGATAATAGCCTATTTTGATTGCTTATTGCTATATAATATGATTTCCTTTACCGTACGACTTTTATAACAAACTTATGCTTGTTGAATCTCTTCTTTTCAAAAGATAATTCTACTTTTCTTATAATGCAGCTGTAATATATTGAATGTATATTTCTTTTAAAATAATTAAATTCATTCAATTACCATTTATTTAATTCAATTTGCTTCAATAGTACAAAAACAGTTATAAAATTTATACACAAAAATCGTATAAGAAAACCAAATGATAAAATAAACAAAACGAAGAAACGAATTGACAACACGATATAAAAAAAACATAGGATAAATACACCTTCATAAATTCTAAAAATACTTCTACATATCAGATAAACTTTCACAATCACAGAGAAAAAAATTCCTTGAATATATCTGTATTTGAGACGATGCTGATTATTCGGAGCAAGATCATGAGATGTGTGAAAACGAAAAATAACAAGAATAAATACTGCAAAACAACACTAAAGAGACAACAAAAGAAAGATACATGAATGCAATAAACAATCGACTAAAAACATTAGTCAAACAATAACGTGCATACAACTTAGTACAGGAAAAACATTCCATAAAATTACAACCATAAGACAATCCCAGATGAAACAAGCACAGTCTTAAACGAACGTATACGGAGAAAGACGACGATTTACATGATCCAGTATTACGATCATATGTCTTCATGTTGTATACGCAGATGTACGATGATATGCAGAGAAAAAAAATTACCGTTTACGATCCTCGTATCCGATCATAATACTGAACTATGTAAACCATCAAAATACAGCCGTATCATGAAGATATATGATCGTTTACAGGTGTATAAAAACTCTCTATTCGTCGACTTGGAATAAACAAAACAGAAATATTTTACAGAAGGATAAAAAGTGATCATACACAGGAAAAAAATTGTATAGTTGACATATAATATGTATAAAGGGCCAACGATAGGATCAAAAAAACTTCGTACTTATGTGAATAACATGCAGAACGACAAAAACAGAAAGTAAAATAACATTGTATATGTATTTTAAACAAACATACTATGCATAAACATATTGAATGAGTTCCAACTGAAACGAGAACAAAATGACATGAGATCTATATGGTATAAAACGACGTTGATGACATATTCAAGTATAGGAATCGTCAACAAAGTCATGCTTCAAATTTTACTGCAAGAAACTAAAAATTCACTTAAACAATCTAAACATTTAGAAATGTGTAGAGGACATACATATAGCCACCAACTTTTGGATCATTCAGGAAACTGTCACCAGAAAGACAAGCTGAATTCTTTTTAACAACGCTACCTGTGTCAAAATTTTGATACATTTTTGACTTTCATACGTCTACTTCACCACAAACACAATGCAAACAAATAATACTGAACCGATTACACCGACCACTACGGCCTCTTATGCTCTTTCCGGAAAAAATATCAGAACAAACACTGTCCCTATACTCAACAATTTCAATTTAAGAAAAAAACAATGGGCTAACTTTAGAAAACAACCTATTCACTAGGTTATATGAAAATAAACGATAATTATGAGATTTCAACACTTACGTCGCCAACGATTCTCTGCCCACTATCAGAAAGAGAGAACAA